CTTTAACGTTCTCCTTGTACGTGGGACCTAAGAAAATTTAGCGCGTCTAGGGAATCATCTTTTAAAGCACATCTTGGTTCATATCATAAATGGTTACAAATTTATTTTGTTGATGAAAACACCATTTCACACTACACTTTGTCACTACACTTGTAGGTGGTATATACACATGAGGAAGTCATACACTTGGCTCTAATGAACTTGTCTAGGACCTCCTCTGTCAAAAGCGCCATCTGCATTCGCACCGACGTTTCTAACTCTTCTCTATCTGATAAATTTGCTATAGACCTCGAAGGAGTTGCGGAATTAGTGTCATATATCTCTTTTTGTAACTCTTCTATAAAACTTATTACAAATGTTACCTGGTGTGACTCGTTTTGTTGCTGATGCTGGCCTTGCCGCAGCTGAAGTTGAACTAAGATTATGTCATCTTCGTCACATTATCAGAGTTCTGTATTTTAGAAAAATATCTGTCGTTAATTTCAGTTATTACTTCTGTATTAATGTCATTGCCTGGTAATGGAAAGATCATAGATATAAGAAATAAGGAGATATGCTCAGTAGTTGAAAATGTATCGGAACCCGGTGTCTCCAGTTGGCCCCCACCACGCGCCAACTACTACATATGCACATCAGTAAAAGCAATAGATAGACATTCGCGCACACACTCGCATTTTATAAATCAGAACATACTACACAACCAATTATAAACCTTATCTCATCATACGCAGCGTGCATTTACCATGCACCGTACAAAACTTATTCACACAAAAACATCTGTCACTATCATTCACTCACAAAAGCCGGCAGCGGCTGCTTCACGAAACTATCGTGTGAGTGAGAGTATCAGTAAAACACTTATCCATTGCGCTATTAGACCAGCTGATTCACAGGTCGATTTGTACTAAGCAAGCAATGGTTTTTGTTCCTAATGAAAACATTTGATTTGGTTTTTCATCGTGTTTCTAGTACCACGAAGTAATGTTTTAATAAATTGAATAAGAAAAACATTAATATTTTAGTACTTACGTGTGAAATGAGATGCCATCTTTCATGTAATTCACAATACAGCTGTTATTTTTGCAAACAATCACAGAACAACGCGGCATTTTGTCAAAAATCACGAGCAGTGAAGACGTCAGAAGTTGACATTCGACTAATAACCGAAACTGGCATCAGGCCGCTTTGCGGCCAGATGCGTTCGCAAGTGCCACGCCTCCTTGCCATATCTCCTGTTGTTTATATGATCTGAGGGAAAGATAAACGAAGGTGGCTCTGCGTAATATTTACTGATATTGTGGAGATATTTTAATGTGCAGATTAAATTCGTATTTGTGTTGTTGTGGTATGGAGATAAGTGTAGATGAAATAATGAAAGCAATGAAAAGCGTGAAAGCAGGTAAGGCAGCTGGATATGATAGAGTATCACTCGAGATGCTAAGGGCTGGAGAGGGAGTGGTGGCAGGCCTGCTGTACACCTTGTTTAATTTATGTTGGGAATTAAAACGGGTACCGGATGACTGGTGTAAAGCAGTTATAGTACCAATATATAAAGGAAAAGAGTCACAGCAGGACTGCAAAAACTACTGTGGAATCAGCTTGCTTAGTATTGTGGGTAAACTGTATGCTAAGGTGTTAATTGAAAGAGTTATGAAAGAAACTGATGGAAAAATTCGGGACGTGCAAGCGGGTTTTAGAAAGGGAATGGGGTGTACAGATCAAGTCTTTTCCATGCGCATGATTGCGGAGAAGTTTTTGACCAAAAATCAGAAAGTTTTTTGTGCGTTCATGGACTTGGAAAAGGCTTATGACAGAGTGGACAGGAATGTGTTATGGCAAACACTGAACTCATATGGGTTGAGCGCTGGTTTGATACGGGCATTAAGGTCTCTTTATAGGGACTCTAGTGCTTGTGTCAGGATCAATGGGGTCTACTCGGACTGGTTTGGCATCCAAAAAGGTGTCAGACAGGGCTGTGTAGCTTCCCCTTGGCTGTTCAACCTATTTATGGACAGGTGTTTGCAAACTTTGAAAGATGAAGAATGTGGGTTAAGAATGGGCGAGTTAACCGTCAAATGCCTTTTGTATGCCGATGATCAAGTCATATTTGCGTCATCGGCGGCTGAGTTGCAAATGATGGTTACATTAATGAACTGGGAATTAAAAGAAAGGGGAATGAAAGTGAACGCAAGTAAGACGAAAGTGATGTGTATTTAGCAGGGATGGTAGATATGATAGGGATATAGAACGACGAGTAAATGCAGGGAATAGAGTGAATGGGGCACTACACTCTATTGTAAAGAACCAGAATGTGTTAAAAAAGGCACGTATGGTAATTCATAATGCTGTGTTAGTCCCTACTTTAATGTATGGTAGTGAAAGCTGGGTGTGGCAGAAGAAGCACGAAAGTAGAATAAATGCTGTAGAAATGCGGTCTTTAAGGAGTATGCTAGGGTTGAATCTGAATGACAGGGTGAGAAATTGCGTGATAAGAGATAAATGTGGTATGCAAGTTGATGTTGTGACCAGGATTAAGAAAGGAATGCTTCGGTGGTTTGATCATGTAGAAAGAATAAATGAGGAAAGAGTGACAAAGCAAATTTATATGGCAGATGTGAAAGGCCGAGTCGGGAAGGGACGCCCTAGAAAAAAGTTTGTCGACCAAATTGGCGATATTTTGAATAGGGGCCACGTTAGAAGTACCCTTAACCGACGAGCATGTATGCGTAGATATATGAATGTAAAGGAGGCGAAAGAGGTATGTCAGGATCGTGCCAAATGGAAGTCCGTAGTCTCTGCCTACCCCTTTGGGTGACAGGCGTGAGTGTTTTATGGCAGACAAATGCACGAGCAAAGGCGCCAAACTGCCAACACCACCGCACTGTAACACCAGCGCAGCGCGCCCTATAATCGAAATATCGCGCGTGAATCTTAAAAGTAATATTTTGTACACATAAATATTCCGAGTTTGGCTTTCAGAAAATGGGTTCAATATTCGAATAAAGCGGATTTAATATTCGAATACAGTGGATTTAATATTCGAATATTTGGATAAGCTATATTATTCAAATTATTCGAATATTCGAATGCAAGGCCTAGCCCAAACGCTTCATGAAATGTGGCAACTTGACCACATTTTTTTAAAGTTTTTGATATACTTGTAACCCAGACAGACTTCTTTAACATTTTATGATTTGTTTATGGCAACAATGACTTAATCATCAATTTTCACCAGTTATTTCTTTGAAATTAATTTAACCTGACATTCTATTTAAAAAAAGTAACAGAGGTCAAGTTGACACAATGTGGCATCTTGACCTACTTACCAATTTTCATGGGTGCAAGGATTTCATTTCCTTTTGTAGGTCAAATTACCAATATTTTTACTTCTTCGGATTTGAAGCGTGGTAACCAAATTTGGATTTATAATAAAAACTTGTAAACCTGGATACTAGGTCAAGTTGCCACAGGATCGGTAACGATTTTCATAAAAAACATGCATATTGGATAGGGTTGTCACAATAAACAAGACACTAGTGATAATAAACTATTTATTTTATAAACTTGGTTAATCTTTCCAATATGGACCATCGATTTCAAAGCCCATATGTTTTTTGTAGATGGTACTCACTAAAAGAAAGTGTTTTGCAAAGTTTTAGGTTGCGGAAACCTACGGTTCATGAGATATATTTTTTTTAAACTTTTCATACAAATTGGTAAATAACACGCAATTACAAAATAAATTTGACAAATGATTGATGTTAAACGTCAGTTAGTGTAGGGTTCCGAATATTTTGAAAGTATCGATACCTACTCGATACCAAGTATCGTATCAAAAGTATCAATACTACTTGGTATCGAGTACATTTCGTTAATTTTGGAGACGAAAAATTATGACAAACCAATTAGATGCATAGGAAGAGCTGATAAGTGCAATTATATATGTATATAAAGTAGAATAAAGTTTACTCTATTTAAGTTCCACCTTAGTACTTGTATTTTATTGTTTGCAACTTGTTTGTATTTCTTAATTAGTACAGCTTTTGTACTTTTATTTTATTGTTTGCAACTTTCTTTATTATCTAATTCTTACTACAATAAAGTGTTTACTTACTTATTTAATATTCAAAAAGTACCCAAAACCGAATCAGAGCATCCCACTATCCACGTGGTCTTGTCTGCCCTACCCCTAGAGTGTATATAAGAGCCCGGAGGCGCGGAGGGAGAGCAGTGCCCGCCCGCCGTAGGGAAGCGCAGGCACCGAGATCGCCGTAGCGGCTGAGGCTGGTCGCCGAAGGCGACCAAAAAGCCGAAGCTGCGCTAGGGCGGAGGCACTGCTCATACCGCAGCGCCGGAGCTGCCACGGAGCGCCGGAGCACAACTTCCCGGCTTCTTACCCCCCTAGTCTCCAAAATTAACGAAATGTACTCGATACCAAGTAGTATTGATACTTTTGATACGATACTTGGTATCGAGTACGTATCGATACTTTCAAAATATTCGGAACCCTACACTAATTGACGTTTGACATCGATGATTTGTCAAATTCATTTTGTAATTGGTGTAATTGCGTGTTATTTGCCAATTTGTATGAAAAGTTTAAAAAAATATATCTCATGAACCGTAAGTTTCCGCAACCTAAGACTTTGCAAAACGCTTTCTTTTAGTGAGTACTATCTACAAAAAAAATATGGGCTTTGAAATCGATGGTCCATATTGGAAAGATTTACCATAAACTTAATTAAAAATCAATATTTTACTTACATCTAATAGTTAAGAAAACATTACTTCATCATTTAAATGTTTAAATAAACTTTGTCGTCATCGTTGTAAAGAATATACTCGTCCGGATTTTCTGATATTTGCAGTATATTTATAGATTTTACAATGCAATTTTCAGCAATGAAGAATCTTTATCTACACGTTTGGGTTTTCAAAATTTAATATTATTTTATATACTCAACGCCACCTCTGAATTTAATATTTGTGAGTCACTCATGTCACAGCCTTCCAGTTCTGTATCTCCCTGATCTATCTGCTATCCTTTCAAATATTCCTTTTTCAATAATATCCACATTTTTTGCTACATCTTCATCCGAGTCAATTGGTAGATCTGGTGATTTACTATCAACTTGTTTGTTCAAGTCATCTTCTTTAAGATCAGCATCTATAATGCATTGTCACTATGTAAACTAATTTCTATATCTTCTGTAGTTGTAGTTGACCCAAAGACATTTAAGTATGTAGTAGTAATAGACCGGACATCAGCAACAAAATTGTCGTCTGTAACTTTTGTCCAACAGAACATATCTCCGATTTTTATCATTTAGTCTAAGTGACATCACTGAAAGGTTAAGACGCATTCGTTTCATAAATTAAAAAAATATTTTTATAGAAAAGGTAATGAAAAATGAAAAATAATGTAAGGTATGGTAAGTCACGATATGGAGCAAAAAATGAACATGATTTCGGTTTATTACCCTAAGAATAATGTATATTTACCAAATAATCTTTAAATTTTAATTATTTCTGGCAGATTGTTCTAGAAGAAAGAAAAAAAGTGCCCACCGTTATCCAGTAACGTCACTATTTATTTACAAATATGTTATTAATTGACGACGTGCCTAAAACCGTTTTTTATCTTATATTTAGAAGCGTCACCTAATGGGAAATAGCTAAAATGTTTTTCAAATAAATATTCAGCGTAGTATTGCTATTTTTCGCTAGAGGGCTTAACACACGCGCGTGCTCACAATTTTTGTATGTAAATCTTCCCAATGTCCGCTCTATAGTTATTATATATTTAAATCTCTTTGAGTTGACCCGCTCTCTACGTTTCTTGACATTTTAATAGGTTCCTTCTTTTCTTTCTTGCTATGTACCTTTTTATTACGGTTTTTTTATTCTATCCACTAGAAGTAGCTTCGTAGTGTTCTTTATTTCTGTCATCTGGATTTTCAATGTCACTTAAATTTCTACAGACTGACGGTGATCTTACTTTGCAGTCCGGTAAAATCATCAATTTTCATTTTCTTAGTTCCAGATTTTTCAGACGTTCTTCGAGGCATACCATAAGTTTTTGCGGCATCATAGGATGACATTTTTATTTCGGACCTTATCGGCTGCTAGTGATAACGTTTCGTCGGCGTAGTTTCTGTATGGTCTTGCCCCAAGTTTCCTACAATCTCTTTTTCTTGGTGAAATTTTATCCTAAAATAAATAGAGCTATATAGGTATGCGTAGGTAATTTAAATATGTATTTTAGGTATATAACATGAAATAATGTTTGTCTGGAAGTCTGGAGTGGAACCATTAGTCTGCACAAATTTTGTTATGGTTTCCTTAAAGCTTTCGCAGTTTGTCAACATATTTATTTTATTTCGGGTCAAAATTTTTTTTTATCTTGTGAATACCGATAGCTCTAAAAACCGAAATAAAATTAACAAATTTCACTACGGCACTCAAAATAGATCAAAAAAATTGTCTTTTCCATACATTTGGTCAATACTGGATCTACCAAACGGCTCTGGTTTCTAACGCGTTTCTAAGTAGCGTGGCAACTTGACCTACACCCAGGGTTGATACAAAATTAAAGTTTATTCACTGTGGATAGATACATTATTCTTCTTCGGTTTTTCAAAAACTTTGTCCGACTATGTAGCACTTACTGATTTCTATTATTAAATTAAGATTTAAAGTGGTATCTAGCTTTTTATATTAGAATTTATACTCTCATTATATATATATATATATATATATATATATATATATATATATATATATATATATATATATATATATATAAACACATATATATACATTGAATTTGAAGATTAATGCTTTTATAAACTTATCAAAACTCTAAAATATTATAATATGTCAAAGGTAATAAATTTATTTAATAAAAATATTTAATCTAAATATAATTACAACTAAAAATTACCTAATATCATGGGACTTCATTCTTACCTAAACGCCGTCCACTACCATCTCGAGACGGCGAGGCCGGCTCTGCTCTTTCTGACCGAGACACAGGTGTCCTCTCCGGCCCATCTCGGCGATTTTAACGCCCACCACGCCGAATGGCTTGGTTCATGTTTACCTCATTATAAAACCGATTATTAAGCAGAAGTGCTACCAAGCCTGGGCTGACGCATCAACGTCCCGGGATATAAACATCAGTGATCTAAAAAAGAAGTATAATTCCGCTTCCAGGTTCTTCAAAAGAGTCATTGCCAACGCAAAGTCAGGGCACATAGATAGAATTGGCGAGAAACTAGTTCGCCTTCCTTCTATAACCCGTGCATTCTGGTCTCTCGCCAAGACTGTCCAAGGGAATTTCTGTCAGCCATCTCTTCCATCTCTGCACAGGGAGGACGACTCACTGACCCATGCCGCAAAAGAGAAAGCTGGCACTCGACGACGGGGGGAGTATTCCGCCGACCATCCCGCGGTGTGAGTGCTCCATGCCGGAGGTGCGGTTCACACAGCGCTCGGTTCGCAAAGCACTCCTCCCCTGGACATCTACAAGTCGAGTGGGCCTGACGGTATCCCCCCAATTGTGCGGGGGATGTGTGCTCCAGAGTTGGTACCGGTCTTAACGCGTCTTTTCCGGTACTCCTACTCCCTAGGCGTAGTCCCAAAATGATAGAAGACGGTTTTACTCCACCCGATCCCTAAAAGAGCCCTTGTTCTCCAAAACAATGGAGTCAAGTGTACAATAAATTTGGAACTTCAGATGGGCAAATCACAAAGGCCCGGCGGGCCGCAGGTTATGTATAGCTACTCCAGAACATGAACATCATTGTTAAAAAAAATCCTAGTACCCGTAGAATACTATAATACACAATAAAATAGCTGTCAATCTTATTTCGTACAAGGATTGGCGTCGCTAAGAGCACATATACAAGCAATTACGTCGTATTATCACTATTACAAACCTGATTCGCTCTGTTGACAGACTGAGCGAATTTACACATTTTAGACGTTGGATCAAGATCATCATTATAAAAATAAATCGTTTGAATTTGAAACATATTTATTTGTAAATTGTGTGCAAACTAATTGTGAATACAATGGCAGTAAGTACAATTTTTTCTTACTGTAAATAAAAAGTTGTTGAACACGTTTAAGATGCGTAGCATCATATACTTAGAATATTAAATCAACTGGAGAGGCCGTGTGCGTTAATTCCTAAACAAAAACGTCTGTCAATATCAGGAGGGCGCAAGAAAAACACACTACTGTATACCTGACTACAAATGCAAAATGAATTGCGTCACTATACACGCACACTATAGCATTTGTTTTTGTGTTCATTGCATTTACGCAAACCATCAAATTGTACACGTGTCGATACAATGGTGCCGCTGTCTACATGCGTAAGCAACGTAAGGCGAGGACGATATCGATATTATTTTATCGATAAACAAATCGTCATAATCCGCATAAGTTCGGCGTTGGTAAAAGTGATTTTTAGTATTTTTTTAATTCATTACCTACAGCCCTTCACAAGTTCGCTGCTGAACATAGGCCTCTACCAAGGGGTGCACAAAGCACGGTTCTGATCCACTTCCTGCATTCATCAACTTCCTGCATGTCTTACCAGGATGTCACTCCATCTATTGAGGGGTAGCCCCGCACTTCACCCACCGGTACGAGGCTGCCACTCGAGAACATTTTTCCCCCCATCGGTTGTCGATTCTTTGAACCATATGGCCGGCCCATTACCACTTCAGCTTACTAATCAGTTGGGTTATTTCGGGCTCTCTGGTTCTACTGTAAATATCCTTATTTCTATATTTATCATGCAGAAAACCCCGAGCATAACCATCACCGTAGCTCGCTGAGTGACTTTATGCTTCCTCATACGGCCAGCAGTGAAGGGTTTTCAGTGTTATATAAAATTATGATTTTATTAGTAAATATAATTATGGTCGGGTTTTGAAAGCCTGAAACTCAGATTTTAATCAAAAGTTGGCTATGGGTACTTTCAACGTTGTGGCGTTATAACCGAGCAATAAAAGCACTAATGCGTCAGTAGCTTCACCGAAATTATCGGATATTATATCAAACCCGTAGCACACATAGCCATAATGCCTTTGTCTGCTAGCATGGTATTTCATCAACTGCTTAATTTTCACTTTATCCATGACCAAGGTACAATAAAAACGCCTTTTTTAGTTTAATTTTCCATGGTGTACAGTCTGTTCGCTTAAATACGGTTGTTTTTGTGCTGCGCTGTCTCAGCACGTGCCGCATTTTTTCAAAGGTGCTACGTTAAAATTCGTACTGTAAAGCACCCAAAACGTCGGGAATCAAAAGTCAAAATTTAACGCGATAAAATCCGTAAAATTAGTTTCATTTAATTTGTAGTGTTTGCGTAAATATAAGGAGTCATAAATGTAAACTTGTCGAAATTCTAAAATATTTTCAAGAAGAATAATATTGGTGTCAAGGGTAATAATAAAACTATTTAATCTATTGATATAATTACAGACAGACATGCTAGACATTACCTCCCACAAGTTCAAGGATAGTACAGCAGTATCGGCTAACCTGCTTTTATTGATAACTTGGGGTATGAAATATGATTTATCAAAATCTCCTATGCATATGATACTGAAGTAATATTTACTGATGACTCCTGCAATTCTTTTCGTAGATCTGCTGAGGAAGGCCTTGCTAGGATCACTAAGTGCCTGAACGCTAACCTACTTACTTTAAATACTTTGAAACCTAGTTATATATGTTTTACAACATTATTATTTTTTATTTTAATTTTATAGTTTATTATTATGTAAAGATCATGGAAATAGTAATGTAAGTGCTATGGAAGAGTGGAGTCTCCAAACACAAGTTTTTATACTTAACAGGAGACCTCACTCCCACTTATAATTTATGTATGATCGTTTACTGAATTAACTATTTTATTTATTACTATTATTAAACCAATAATAGAAAAAATTACTACTTTTTGTAATACTTTATTATAAAATCTTAACAAAAAACCTGTTTGGCAGACAAACCCGAATGGGTTAATTAACTTATCGATAGCTAAATTTGCGGCATACATCACAACATTACAATACTTTCGGTTAGAGTGATACCAGTTTAGTTTTACAAAAAGTGCACAAATTTGCTACGAAGTGGCAAGTTTCGATTCGACTTATTCGGCCTTTATTTTATATAATATTTTGATAGAGACTAGTTATCTATTATATTAAATTATAAAATATTCAGAATTATTTATTTGATGTAGTGATTATTTTTCATCACGATATGATTTAGTTGATATGAAATAAATTTTCGTTAATATATTTATTTTGTGCAGTACATTATATATATATTTAAAATCGCTTATTTTTCACTTCATGAACTATGCTGGTAACACTTGGTATTTTACGAAAATATTCGGAAAATACGAGTTTTAACGATAATATTATGTTAAAAGTATTCACAGATGCAATACCACGTTATTCTTTTGTAGTTTTGACGGTTTTGATTATTATTGCATGTAAATACACTTCGGCTGCAATTCGGCTTTTTTGTCGGAGCTCAATTAACTGGCACGATCACTTGCGTAATGGAGCACGACGCGGAGCATCTAGTTTTATATAATGGGTATAAGTCGGACTCTCATACCTTTTACAGAGGGGTATGCCTTGCGATGCCGTCTCCTTTGGTTTAATACTCAAAGGTCATATAAGTCTATGCATTAAAGCAAAATGTAGTATGTAATATATCACTGGCTAGGGATGTAGCTAGATGTCTTGTTAAGTGATTTACCGGTAACCGGTGAGCACCGGTAAAACTCGAGTTTATTTATTTTGAAATATTTCAATAATAATTCCTCAGACATGCAGGTTTCCTCACGATGTTTTCCTTCACCGCCGAGCACGTGGTAAATCAGCACTTAAAATTGCAATTAACAATTTCGTTGGTGCCGGGGGGATCAACCCGGGTTTTTCGAGTTCTGTTATATTTACAGCGAGCGTTAACCATCTTAGCTACCACGGCTCTTGAGCTACCACGGCTCTCAATTTTATATACTAAAAGATAAATACTA